ACAACTGAGCTCTCGTGATTATTTTGAATAAAGACCAGGTAGTCTCTTATAGTCAATATTTCAGTCTCTATTTTCTTATTTAATTGCATTTAGCTGGGACTTCCTTAGACTGTTAAATGCTCAATCTTATTTCATTATTGGGTGCTGACTCACAACTGAATGCTTTTACCATTTCACTCTAATCTGTGTTGTTTTGTTTTCTGATGATGATTATTTTGATCCACTTAAGGAAATGTTCGTTTATTTCTAGGTTACTAAGAATTTCTAGGTTACTAAGGGACCTCCCTTGTCATGGAGGGTTGAGTCTCAGCCTATTAGTCTGTCAACGCAGCATCCTGAGTTCCATCCTTAGCCAAGGAGCTAACCCACATGGCATAGCAGACATCTTGTCTCTCCCACTGGTCCCTGGTGTATTTCAGAGGATCTACCTGTCCTGCTGCCCACTCTGTCTCTGGTGATTCCTCTCACCATCCCTGCACCACTGGCCTATACCCCAGTTTTGTATGCATAAATAAATAAATAAATAAATAAAATTCAGAAATGGCTGAATGCTGTGCATTACATCCCAAATGACTTTTCTCGTTTAATGCAATAAAGCACAAGCAGATTTCTTAATGTTAAATTGCCACTTTTAGAATAAACCATACTTTGTCATGGTATGAAATGTAGAATGACACTACTGGATTTGATATCTTAATACCCACTTTTGGTTTTGCATCAACGTCATAGCGAGAAAACATCCTCTTTGGTATTAGTATTATGCTAATCTTTCTCTCTCTTTTTAAGATTTCTTTATTATTGTATAAAAGAACTGAGGTACAGGCTAGAGGTGCGGGGGTGAGAGGATTCGTCAAAGACAGAGTGGGGAGCAGGACAAGCCAACTGACCAAGTACATTGAGGGGAGCAGCAGGTGGGTCAGGAGAGGTCTGCTATATCATGTGGGTCACCTCCCTGGCCAGGGACTGAACTCATGCTGCAGTGGCTGCAGACAGCTTCACAGTGCTGTGCTTTAACCT